CCTCTGGAACGAGCTACCCCCCGAGATCCGGACGATTCCGGATCTCCTAACCTTCCGCCGCGCCCTCAAGACATGGCTTTTTCAGCAAGCGGGACTGACCTAGGGTGAATTTTAAATAGGGATAATTTTTAATGATTTTAATAAGAGACACAGCTACAAATATTTGGTTTTTAATTGGCTTTTATTGGGGAAATGTACTTTGTTGTTTTAATATGCTGTGAGCCGCCCTGAGTCCCGTGGGGAGAAGGGCGGCATATAAGTCTTAAAAAATAAAAATAAAAAAACTTGCATAATATGGAAGAAATGGAGAAAGAGAATCAGGAAAGGAAGGAGGCCGAGGGAGGAAAGAAATGAAATGTGAAGGACAAAAATAATAATAAAAAAACATTTTTAAAATCATTTTAAATAATTGAATAAAATTGTTGAATTGTCCTGCAGTGAATTGCCCCATTCCGGACAGGGAGGGCAGAAAGGAGCTGGGGGGGGGATCTTGGGGAAAGGGAAGGTAGCTGAGGAGATCAGGCAGATCCCAGGATCGCAGAAGAGCCTTGGAAGGGATCCCTCTTGATCTCCTCCTCCAGCAAATGGCACAACTCCTGGGTGGATTAATGGGGGGCGAGGGCTGAGTGAGCCCCCCCAAGAGGGTCCTTCATAGATCCACTCCAGCTCAGAGAACTTTTGCTAACAACGTTTCTCTCCGTTGACGGATTCTCTGATGAACAGCTCATTATATAACGTTTAAGAACATGCAATTTTTAAAGGTTTGGTTATTTGTAATTTAATCCTGGGGATCTGGTCGGAATTTTTTTATGAACAGTTAATTATCCTCCTAGGTTTGCAGGGAAGAATTTAGGAGTAAAAAGGAATTCCAGACTGAATATGAGGAGAACAAAATCTGTGTCGGTTCCCCTTAAATATTCCATAATTTCCGGAAGGAGCAAATGCCCAGCATCTCCCCGTAAAATGCCTTTTTCTCTTGGGATTTGGTGGTTTTTCTCTTGTGGAAGAAAGATCTTATTTAATTCTTTGGTAGGATATTATTTTTGGAGACCCTGGCAACAGCAAATGGCAACAACCGCAGATGAAACACTTGTTTTGCACAATGAAACCTTATCAGTTGATAGAAATAAATAAGGTTTTTAAATATAAACAAATAAAACTAAAACAACAAACGTAGGCAATTTGCCAGGAATCTGGAACAGGGAACTAAACAATCCGAGGCTTCAGGGCTGAATGAATGCCCGAAATTCAGTTTTAATGTTTGTGGGTGGTTTTT